GGTCATTAGGAATTACTGTTATTGAAATGGCAGAAGGAAATCCACCAAACAGACATGTCACTAGTTTTGACCAATTACTTAGTGTTATTGAAAATAAACCTCCTTCATTTAAAAATCCAAAATTGTGGACAACTCAATTGGTTGATTTTGTCGCACAATGTCTTGTTATTGATTATAATCAAAGACCAGATGCTGTAACATTATTATGGCATCCTTTTATTGTAGCACAATCCCCTCCACCTGCACAACCATTATTAAACTTAATTAAACAGGTTGCTAATTAATGGATATCCCAAATATCAGAACCTCTTTGTTCTTTATATTCTAATATTCATTTCTTTCATATTTTATCATTGATATTGTGTTTGATTATTAGCGTTTTGAACTTTTATTTAAACTAAACAGAAACAACATTGAACCAAAAAAATTAATTATTTGGTTCACTTGCCATAGACAAATTCAATAAATCAGTATTACTTAATTTCATTGTTCTAATCCCATTCATAAAGAAATCATTAGTTTGTTTATTGACTTGGGTTGTACATTTTTCAGTTGTGAATCCTTTCAATTGGTCAATAAGTTCACCAATTTTAATAGCCTTAGATATATCAATCATCTTATTCATTTCATCTTCTTGAAGTATATTTTCTTTTGTATCATCTATTTCTTCTTCTTCTTCAAAAATTTGACACATTTCTTTTAAGAAGAATTTTAAATAAGGAATAGCAGGTTTACCATATGAAATGCTGTAATTTGAATTTTGAATTTCCCCTTGAATATCTATTAATTTAAACATCAATTCATTTTCTTCTTGTGTCCTTTGTGCTATAGTTTTTTTCATACGAATTACAGCATAATGGGTTAATCCATTAACAATAGAATTAAATGAATTAAAATTCTTAATTTCAATACATTTAATTGCCAATTGAAGGAAATTTTTGAATGCCATTTCTCTAATCATTTCATTTTTTTGATTAATTATAGAATAAGCAACCCAATTAGTAATTTTTTGATTCCATTTATAATATAATTCAATATTAGAATTTGGTCTAGTAGTTGAAAAGATGTTAATGTAATAGTCCTTTGGTTGTAATAGTTCTAAGAATGAAAATTCACAAATCATTAATTGATTTGCAATTTCTAAGAAATCTTTATTTAAAATTGTTACTGAATAACTTGATGGTGCCATCCAATCAGGTAATTTCATTGATTTTCCATCAATAGAAATAGGTGCTGGATCAAATTTCATTTGAAAAGTAGGTTCATTTTCATTACTATGAGTATTTGAAAGAGTTTTTTTTACTTTTTCAATACTTTCATTCAACGTTTCTCCATCTACTTTCTCTACATAATCAAGTACGTCTTTGATAATACTCAATGACTTCTCTGTAAATTCAACTCCACATTCTTCAATCCAACTTTGTAATGCTAACAATAACGTATTATTTGGATGAGTTAATAGCTTAGCAGTTATACATTCAAATATTTTATCTTCATGAAATTCTACAGGATAAAACAAAGATGAACACCAAAGAGTTTTATTGAAAGGAAATTCACTCAAAACATCAATAATAGTCAACACATTATGAACTAATATAATTTTATTTCCTTCTGTACTTTGTAATACTATACAATTTTTGTTATCCTCTTTAGGTTTATAATGTTCAATAAATTGTTCAATACAATGAGTTTCTTCAATTGGTACAGGTTGTAGTTTTTTTAATGCTTCAGTTAATTGTTCTGATGTCATTAAATTATCTTAAACGTTTTTAGTTCAAAGATCTAACAAAAATCTAAAATAAGTCTATTCAAAGAAAAGTCTCACTTATCAAATACTCTAAAAAATCTTTTCCCAAGAGGTTTTGGTTATTTAATTCCTTATACCCAAATACCTATTATTTTGTTTTACTTTACGCTTTAAGTTTGTAAAATTAAATATTAATTTTACATAAAAGTTACTTCCCCTTACCAAAAACCTTTATTGTTCCATGAGACTGTCTATCCATATAATCAGCAAATTTATTCACAATACCAAATTCAATTGAAGCCAATGTAGTTCTTGTAAATGTATCATATTAATTATCTTATATATTTCATTTTTATCAAACAAAGTGAGTTTGTTGATTTTTATATTTTAAGTCAAGTGAATTAATGATCCATATTTATTATTGTGTTGTGTATTTGTTTGTATTACTCTTATTATTCATTAAATTTGATTTGGTATTTTATTTCTTCATTTCGTAGACACAATATATTTTTCATTTATTCTGTTGTTTTTATCATTCACTTTATTATTGCTTTGATATATTTGATTAACTTCATATTCAATACTACTTGTATGACGGAATAATAATTCATTGATTTATCTAATATTTGTAATAATCATTTAATCTGTTTTGTTTAATTGATAAAACAATACAACAATCAATGAATATGATAATTCGTATAAATAATAATGGATAAGAATATAATATAAGTTAAAATAACAAAAGAGAAGAATAACTATTTTAACAGTGAAGTTAACAAAAGTAATTACTTCAATTTACAAAAGATGTAATCAAATTATTTTCTCTATATAAATATACAAAATAATATATAATTAACTTCAAATCATTTATTATATTCATTAATATAACTTATTGTTTATTATTCATAATAATGTACATACAATAATGAATGAATTGATATTAAAATCATTTTCAATCATTTTGCTAATTGTCAATTATGTTAATGATTGAAAATATTGTTATTAATTTTAGTCAATTTCTCTTTTGACTTTTCTCTCTTAACATTTTTATTAATAAATAAATAAAAATTAATTTAATTTTAACATAAATAACAAAAATAAAAATGAAAAAGTGAAAAATCAATAAAGAATTTAAAAATAATTAAAAAAGAAAAAAAGAAATATACTAATAATTAATAATAAAATATTATAATAAATATAATTTATTTTATCATCTCATTTTTATCTACCAAAAAAATTCTATTTATAATAAAAATAAGTAAAGATAGACTCACTAAAGAAGTTATAAATAAAAAAAAGAAAACAATTTTATAAACTTCTCTTGAAAATACCAAACCAAAAAAAAATTTTACATTGAAATTCTTTTTTGTTTAGTATTTTTAATTACAATCATGTGTTGACTGATTGACTTTCTTTGATGAAAGATTTCAGCAACTTTTATAACATTTGAGGGGTTGCAGATACTGATCGAATAATAGTTTTTCTGCTTCCATTTCGTGGTTTAGCTTTAACTACTGCTGGGAAAACTGGTGATGTACTTTGTGAATCAAAGACAACTTGGCTTTCTTTTTGATGGAATGCTTTGTCTGGTGTTAAGAAGTGATATTGAGAATATTCAATCCCTGAATAAATGTCAAGATCTTCTTCACTATTTTCCATCACTTGAGTAACCTCGTCTTTCTTTTCTTCATCTTCATCATCATATTCCCATGGCATAAGACCACTAGAAACTTTAATCTTTCTTCGACTCAATATACCACTTTCGTACATCCTTTCTCTTCTTTTTCCATTTTTCTTACCACTTTCTTTTCCATTATTTGCTGAATTAGGTGGTAATGAATAGGATGGATAATCCCCAACACTTCTATATTCAATATGCAATTGATCTAATAAATCTCTTAATGGTTTTAATTGGGATTTGACATCACTTAACTTTTGAATTCTGTCATGGCTATGATCATCCTCCACTAATACCAAAGGAGTATCACAACTAGGACAAAACATTCTATGAGTAACTGTATCATAATAATCCATTGCATCAATATATGAATATTTATATTCATCTCGTGGACACATATATACAGCATCTTCTACCATATGTGAGTCATTATAACTATTAACAATTTTACAATATTTAAATACAATGTTTTCAATAGTTTCTTGATATTTAATAATATACGCAGTTGAATTTTTTCTTCTTTCTCCATTCATTTCAGAAAATTGAAGTTCACTAATAAACTTTTGTTCCTGTAATTGTTTTAAACAATTAGAAACTTTATTTACTGGCATTCCAATCGCTTCACTTATACTTTTATCCGTTTGGAATGATTGGCAACTTTGTAACTGAACTAAGACGAGTAATGAAGATGAATCTAATATCAATCCAACTGCCGTTTGTAAAATTCTTTCTACAAGATTAAATTGTGGTTTTGTTGTATCAGTGGACATCAATTATGATTTTCAAGTTTTTTTTTATTTTTTATCAAATTACCCTTCAGCCAACCAAAACGACTTTTATTTTTCTTTTTTCTTTCTTCTTTCTGTTATTATCTTTTTTATTATATTTTTATAGTTCTTTTATTTTCTTTCTTTCTTATAAGTCATTTTCTTAAAATAGATTTTCTTTGAGTTTTATAATCATCTTTTTTTTTAATTTGTCTTTGTCAAATCACAAATTCTCTTTTCTATGAAAAATCTCTCTTGTCATGATACTAATGTTGTTGCTTTGTTGCTATCACTTACTTCTGCTAATTTAGAAATAGTTTCATTATTTTGAAACTCTTTAAATATTTAGTTTTCTTATATTTATCATTTTTATTGTTATAAATAACAAAAGAACACGTGGAAATGATAAAGCAATGAGTAAATGAGTAGTAGAAAGAATGAAAGATTGGCACAAACAATGAACCACGTAAACATGATAGAAATGGAGAGAATGATATATAAAGGAAGTCTGAAGTAAAGAAGTCATTAAATGAGTAAATACACAGGATTAGGTATTGGAATAGATTTAGGTACAACATATTCATGTGTTGGTATTTGGCAAAATGATCGAGTAGAAATTATAGCAAATGACCAAGGAAATAGAACGACACCATCATATGTTGCATTTACTGATACAGAAAGACTTATTGGGGATGCAGCAAAGAATCAAATTGGAATGAATGTTAAAAATACGGTATTTGATGCAAAACGAATGATAGGAAGAAGATTTAGCGATCCAACTATTCAAAATGATATGAAACATTGGTCATTTGAAGTAGTTGATGATGGACATGATAAACCACTAATTGAAGTAGAATATAAAGGAGAAGTTAAAAGATTTACACCAGAAGAAATTTCATCAATGGTATTAAGTAAAATGAAAGAAACGGCAGAAACATTTGTTGGAAAAGAAATAAAGAATGCAGTTATTACATGTCCAGCATATTTCAATGATTCTCAAAGACAAGCTACTAAAGATGCAGGAACAATTGCAGGAATGAATGTGATGAGAATTATTAATGAACCTACGGCAGCAGCTATTGCATATGGACTTGATAAAAAAAGTTCAGGAGAGAAGAAAGTATTGATATTTGATCTTGGAGGAGGAACATTTGATGTATCAGTTCTTGCAATTGAAGAAGGAGTGTTTGAAGTTAAAGCAACTAATGGAGATACACATCTTGGAGGAGAAGATTTTGATAATCGACTTGTTAAATATTTTATTGGTGAAATTGAAAGAAAATATAAGAAAGATATTAGTGGGAATGCACGAGCTGTTAGAAGATTAAGAACGGCATGTGAAAGAGCAAAAAGAACATTATCAAGTGCAAGTGTTGCTAATATTGAAGTTGATCAATTATATGAAGGAATTGATTTTTATACATCTATTACACGAGCTAGATTTGAAGAAATCAACATTGATTTATTTAAATCAACTATTGAACCAGTTTCAAGAGTATTAGAAGATGCTAAAATAGATAAAAGTAGTATTGATGAAGTAGTATTGATAGGAGGAAGTACAAGAATTCCAAAAGTCGTTGAGATATTAAAAGAATTTTTCAATGGGAAAGAACCAAATAAAAGTATTAATCCAGATGAAGCAGTTGCGTATGGAGCAGCAGTACAAGCAGCTATATTAACAGGAACCGGAGGGAAAGCAACAGAAGATGTGTTATTACTTGATGTTGCACCACTTACACTTGGAATAGAAACAGCAGGAGGAGTTATGACAGCATTAATTCCTAGAAATTCAACAATTCCAGCAAAGAAATCCGAAATATTTTCTACATATGCAGATAATCAAGCAGAAGTATTAATTCAAGTATTTGAAGGAGAAGCATCAATGACAAAACATTGTAATTTACTTGGAAGATTTGAGTTAACAGGAATAGCACCAGCACCACGAGGAGTACCAAAAATCGAAGTTACATTTGACATTGATGCAAATGGAATATTAAATGTAACAGCAGAAGATAAAAGTAGTGGAAAGAAGAATAAAATTACTATTACAAATGACAAAGGAAGATTAAGTAAAGAAGATATTGATAAAATGATAAGAGAAGCAGAGAAATATAAAGCAGAAGATGAAGAGAATAAGGCACGAATTGAAGCAAAGAATCAAATAGAAAATATGTGTTATTCAATGAAGAATAGTATTAAAGAAATGGGAGATAAAATAAGTGAAGAAGATAAGAAGAAAGCAGAAGAAATAATAGAAAAGAATTTAAAATGGGTTGATAACAATCAAAATGGAAGTAAAGAAGAATATGAGAAGAAAAAGGAAGAAGTTGAAAAAGAAATTGGAGAGATTTATTCAAAAATAACTCAAGGAGGAAGAGGATTTACAGGAACTAGAAGCACAGAAAAAGAAAATAAAGGACCAAGGATTGAAGAAGTTGATTAAATAAAGAAGAAAAGAATATGTACAAATAATAAGAAAAGTAATTAATTAAAATTATTTGGTTAATAAATAAAATAATAAAAAATATAATAAAGAATAATAAAATAAAAGTATTTTA